TATTAGCAAGTTTATGATATATTGCAATTTGGATACATGTATTGTTGTACATATTGGTGCTGTTCAGAATTCAATTATTCTCACGGGAAGGTGTTTCTGAATTTTTCATCAATGCTTTCAGTCAAACAAGACGCTAATATCATGTTGAGGTCTTTTCGCTTCCCTTTTTTTGGTTTCTGGATGCCAACATTTCTAACTGCAGACTTTAGCGTCTTGTGAAAAGATCTGCCACTTGTTTTCTGAAACAAAACAGAATTTTTATTTAATTTTTTTTAAACACATGGTCACAAAGTATCCTGAGATTTTGATCCAGTAATTAAAACACATACACTGGGGTGTAAGAAGGACCTCAGTTTTCTTTCACATGATTTTTGGGATTTTTCAACTCCGTCCCGTAGGTGTTGTTCAAAAGCTTTTGTAATGTCTTCAATTGCTTTTTTGACTCGATTATGTTGGATGCTCAAGTTTCCCTCAAGGACTGCACACACATCGTTTTTTTGTTCAACCTGAAAAAAAAAGAAAGATCATTATTTAACGCAGTAAAACATCACATAATGGTTCTTTACTCATTTTTGAGGCGGTCTTGAGAAACCCAGGCTTTTAACAGGAATCTCATGCATAAGTTCAGTCAGATAGGTCTGTCATCATTTGTCTGCCTCTGCCTATTCGTTATGTCACTTCCATTTTTCCACATTATTGAACTTATTGCTCTAGTCTGATCATTTTTTGCCTTCTGCAAATTAATCATCCTCTGTTCTCTGTGCTTTTATATGATCTTTTGTCATTCTGCCTTTCAGACTCTCATTCATGCAACTTGCCCCCTCCCCAACTTCACCTCAACCTTCCTGCGGTCACTCAGATCCCCATCCAAACTACTATTTTCACTACCCCAAGAATCTAGACTCTCGGGGTCCTGTCCTAACTCCCATCATTTCTGTGCTCTCATTGGTTCACTGGAGTCTCATTGGTTAATAACTATTTAATCAAATTCTGTATCTCAATAAATAATATTCAGTTCTTCCAAATAATCTCTCCCCTTTCAATCACTAATAATAAATTACCACATATAGACTTATGATGTCCAGTATCCCACATTTTCAGTGAAGGTCAGCATGTCTTACAATATATGTTAGTAAACTTTAGTGAACATTTTATGAACATTTTTA